GATGCTCCAGTGCTGCAGCGCTCCCACCTCTGGGTACCTGAGGAGCAAATGCCACGGCAGCGGGGAACACTGCCCACCCGTGCTGGAGGAGCAAGCCTCTGTTAGGAGCTTCTCACTCAAAAACGCACTTCTCTGGAGACAGCGGTGTTTGGAAGTCGAAAGACCAGAGATGAAATGTAAAAGCAGCTCCCAACAGGTTAATTTGGAGCTGCACTGTGGGGAGCAGAGGGATGGTCAGGGACAAGCTCTGGGGCCATGCAATGATGGCACCAAAGGACACAGGGGCTCTCCAACAAGACTACATTGTGTCACTGGTTTGTAGAGGGTCAACTTTTTTGGGAAGACTGTTTCTTTGTTTAACTCTCGATCTACTGCAGTAGGTCCTCCCTCCTACGCTCCTGGGCAGGACACTACCGCAGAGCACGAGTCACAGCCGGGACACGGGGACAGCCCGCCGACCAGCGCCACAAAGCCCCGTCTATCACTGGTGTCTTCTAAGGGTTTTCAAGAGTTAAAATGACATCATGCACATCTCCGAACGTGCACCGGCTGCGCTGGGTATTGCAGTTACCGGCTTCCTCTGCAACACTGAGATACGCAAGATGCTGACCTTCCCAGTGCCAAAACCATTAGCTTCTTCAGCCAGAAACCTCTAGCTGAGGTCACTTCTGCTGCTACCCATGTGGCCTTCCCAGAGGTTTCACGATGCAGAGACAAGCCTTTCCCCTCCACATCCAGCTCTGCCTGGATCCCTGAGAAGGAGGATTCCCTCCAGTGCCCTGGGGAAGTGGGAAGGCAGGTATCACTGCCAACGGAGGAGACGGCGTGAGGCATGGGGAGCATCTCCAGAAACACCAGCCAGGAGTTGTTTGAAGTTTGGAGGACTGACACATGCCTGCGTGTGCGATCAGACCTCCCAGGGAGCTCTATGGGAACTATTTTTGTTTCTGTACCAGCGCTTATTTTCATTTGTGATTATGTTCACCTTCTGCTAGCACTCTTTCGAGATGAGACTTTGCACCCGATAATGTGAATCAGACATGCAGGATTGCAGCTGACTCCCTTCACACCAGTGCCTCACTGGGAACACGGCTGTGCCCTCGTCCGGCACCCGCACGCTCCCAGTCCCGCGGAGGGGCTGGCAGTGCCTGCTCCCAGCCCCAGGTGTATTTGCAGCATCAGGTGTAAGTGGGTGTTTTGGAGTTGTCTATCGCTACCTATGAACTTTAAAATCTCACAAGAGGGCCGAGCTGACAGCAGCACGTGATGCTACATGTGCTGGTCCCGACTCCAGCTGGAAACAGGCACGGGAGCAGCTCTGCACCCTCCAGCACACTGGGGGAAAGGAGAACGCCAGGAAGCACAGCGAGAGCCAGTGGATAATTATCGTTTTAGGATCTGCAGACAACAGAGTGCAAACACCAGGAAAGATGCGTTACAGCCATAATTATACAGCCTGGTCCCAAGCAAGCGCATGTCTACAGGAGCAGCTGTAAGAGCAGATGGAAGAGAAAGTCGCAAATGCCGTTTGTACAGTGCCGTGGCCCTGCCTGCACCCCTGCCTGCACCCCTGCCTGCACCCCTGCCTGCAACCCAGCATCACCTCCCAGCCACCTCGGTGGCTCTGATCGGCCACTGATCCAATGCCCAAATCCTCTTTCCTTCAAGCAAAAGAAAGTTGAGGGTTAACACTTTCATTAATTCCCCCCCACAACCTCCAGAGACAGTAACTGCCCGTTGACATCGGCTTTGCTGGCAGCCGGCATCAGGCTCCTGGGTGACCCGGGCAAAGGGCCAGAAGCGACCTGCTTTGCTCACCTCCCTGCACTCCGCCTGGTTTGCAATGCTCCCTCGTACCCCAGCGTGTTCCTCACCCCATTATTCCCCAGATGCATTTGCGGCTTTTCCATCAAAACAAGCAATAACGCAGAGATCGCATACGGAGAGAAAGGATGAAACACTCACAAAGGAAGCAAGAGGAAACCAAGAATCCCCTCCTTGGTGGAGGGGAGGAAAAAAGAAGGGGACAGTGTAGGAGAGTCCCACAGGGGAAGTCTCCGGGGGTTATTAACATGGAGTTAGTTAAACAAGGCAAATTGCGCAGGTCAGCTCTGACCTCCTGGCAGGTTCGGTTCCCGAGGCTGCTGGGAGCAGCGCAGTGGGGTATGGTGGGCTGTGATCTCTGCGACTGCGGGGGCTTCACATGCCAACGAAACCCTGTACTTCAGCTCTGCTGCGGGATCTGCTTCTATCGACGCTTATTCTGGGAGCAACCAACTGCCTGGCATTTCCGTGTGAGTGGGTGTACAGGCTACGGCAGTAGGGCTGTAGGAAAGGTTGGGGGCAGCCATCATTTGAAAAAAAAGCAAAGGCACAGAAATAGGAATGGGACAAAATATGCCGGGCATATGTGGGCATTAACCCACCCTGATGTCTCCCGGTGAAATGAACCCATGGCTTGTTGTCTATCCAGCAGAAGGGTGCTTTGCACACAGAATCACAGAATGGTGGGGGTTGGAAGGGACCTCTGGAGATCATCTAGTCCAACCCCCCTGCCAGAGCAGGGTCACCTACAACAGATTGCACAGGATGGCGTCCAGGCGGGTTTGGAATGTCTCCAGAGTGGGAGACTCCACCACCTCTCTGGACAGCCTGTGCCAGTGCTCCACTACCCTCAAAGTAAAGAAGTTCCTTCTCATGTTAAGATGGAACTTTCTGTGTTCAAGTTTGTGCCCGTTACCCCTTGTCCTCGTCCACACCAAGCATTCATGCAGCTAACGGCTCATGCCACTGCTTGAATCACTGCAGGATTTGGGTGGGAAGGGACCTCTGGGTGCCAAATGTCTAACCCACCGCTCCAAGCAGGGTCAGTTGGGGAGGGGAAGGACCAGGCCAACCAATTCCTCCTGCCGGACCTCATAGACCCACACTCTCCCCTGGGAGCCAACGGGGCAACTGCATGTCAGCAGCATCTTGCCAAATTTGGGCTTAGGAGATGCAAAAGCCAGACTGTGTTTACCTGAGACCATGGACTTTGTTACAAGAGCCCCGGACAACACTCCTGTTTATATCAGCACCAAGCTGGATTTCAGCACAGCATTTGCCAGGCTGCCCTGCGGGAAACGGTTCGTTAAGCGGGGAAAGCGGGATTGTACAAGAGCAGAGAGAAAGGTAAGGAGCTGTTGGTGGGGAGACGTACCAGGCAGCGTGAACAGAAGCGATGCCAGGCTGGAGGGGAGCTATGGAAGACTGCTCTTTGCAGACCCCAATAAGCGACAGTGTCGGTCACAGGCTCGCATCCACACAACATAAGTGATGTATTTGTTTTACCAGCAAGGAAGCAGCGTGCCTGTTTTCTAGCAAGAAGCCCACAGAGGGGACAGCCCGAGGGAGCAGGACATCTCTGCCCGGACACGGGCTGAAGACATGATGCACCTGGAGCACACACACTGACCCAGTGTGATCCTGGGGTAATAAAGTGTCACCACTGGCGGCGCAGGTGCATTGGGTGGATTTACCAGCACAGAGCTCTGATGCAATACTGCAGCCTGTCCCCAGGGCAGAGCACAACTCCTGCACGACAGAGGCTTTGCAGGGCAGAACCTGCGTTCTCCAGCTCGCTGCTGAAGCCCGTGAATGCGCACGTGATGCATGACAAGAGCAAAAGAGAAATGAGGCAGAGATTGAGAGTGGCACCATTTCACACATGCCCGGCAGTGGAGAGGATGGTTGTTAAGAGGCAGAAGGCAGGAAGGATCACAGCCTCGCGCCGTGACACGCAGCATCAGCCAGAAGATGGATGTGATGTTCCCCTTCCATTTGAATCGAAGGGTTGCAGGCACCGAGCCCCACCAAAGGGGCTGTAAATATCATCTAACGAGGGCTGGACATGGGTGTTCTAGCACCATGGAAATAAGCTTTCCAGCAAGGAGAGATCATCCTTAACAACAGGCAAATGCAGGGAGGCGATGACAGATGTTTTCATTTGGGACTGGAGAGACATCAGCGACGCTTGTGCTGGATAAATCACCTTCAGACTTTGCTAACACAAGAGCCTGGAAATGGAGAACATCAGCTGCAAACTCAGCCAGGCAGCTCCCACAGCAGCCGAGTGGAGGATGGCCTTTCCCAGCTCCAGGCATCCTGACAGCTCATGTTCACACAGATCAGCCCCAGGTCAAGGGGCTCAAGACAGCACAGAAGAGCCATGCCAACCCTAGGGAGCCCCAGATCCACCTGCACACCCCAGTCCTGGAGGCAGCGGGGGATTACAGTGGTGTGCAGAAGCGTGTTTCTGCTTTGTTCCAAAACACACATGCACGAAGTGAAAACAGACCCAGATGTAACTGATGAAACGACATTCGCTTGAGCCAGAAACAGGAGATGTGGGAGGGTAAAACACCCCGTCTGGTCTCTGAGATGCAACCACCAAGCCTCACTTCTCTGGGTGGCCTCACTGAACCCAGCTCAGTGAACGTCTCTGGCTACAGAAGTGACACCTATGAGCAGGACATCCCCCTGTCCCCAGCCTGCCGCACACCGGCTTCCTCACTGCTGCCTCTGAGCTCACGGCTGGATGGGACAAGCCATCTGCCACCCCTCTTCTCCCAGACTGAGGCACACGAGTTGTGCCACACCGTGAGAGAAGAGGGGAGGACTCAAGCGTGGAGCTGCAGGGCCCAGCAACAACCCTGCGCTGCCCACGGAGCCAGCATCATCCTTCGCAAGCATAGCACAGCCGGAGACGTACCTGAAAAGCCCAGGTCCAGCAGGACGGCCCGTTTGCGGTCCTTCACGCTGCTGATCTGCTGGAAGTAGAGGTCCACGACAAAGAAGAAGATACAGCCAAAGAAGGCAATGACGCCAACGGCGATGCCGTAGCTGCAGGCACTCTCATTCTCATTGAAGATGCAGAGCAGCTCGGGGCTGTCCTTGTTCACGTAGCACTCGTTCACGATGGAGCCAAACACCACGATGGAGAAGATCTGCAGAAGGAAGGAGAAAACACAACTTGCTGCTGTTTACATTTAACTCTGTTTTCCAACAGCAACGTAATTGGATTCAATCCTGTCTTTGACTCCATGGCAACATGGCATTTGTCAGACAGATCCCGACTCTTGCCTGGTTGGTGGCCCCAAGCAAAGGGCTGGTGGATGGTACCTAGGTCCTCCTTTGCTGTGAGCCTGTCTGCCTTTCAGTGGCTTGGTTTGCAGAGTATTTTAAGAGATGTTGTTGTCCAGCCAGGCTACAGAGGGAAAAAATAAATAGATGGGCCAGGTCTCTGCACAGACTTTCTGCTCGTGTTGTTTTCCGCTGTCAGGCTGTGCTCGATAAACCCCCTTGTGTCACTGCGGAGCGGGGAGAAATGAAGTTACAGAGGATAACTGAGCTGCTGAGCAGGCTGACCTGGGGGAGGACTGGATGTGCGGTGGAGGGGGGACGGGACACGGCAGCGTGGGGAGGTGGGGAGCAGCTCACCTGGGCACCGCAGGGCAGGGGGAGAGGCTGCCCGGTGACCGACAGTGTAATTTTTCGCCTGGCTTAGCAGGGGTTGAAGGATGCAGTGCCTGCATCCGTTATCCAGTGACCCGGTTTCAGCCCTGCGAGGGACAAAAGGGCAGGGGGGGTGCCGGCAGCTGCTCTGGTCCCACCGCTGGGACCCGAGGGTGTTTCACATCCCTCCAGGCAGGGAAGGAGCTGGATGGCAGCACACAGCCAGCTGCCTAAATTAATACCATTCAAGATGCCGCATGCTACAGTAATTCCGTTATCCCTTCGACACCAGAGGCAGCAAGCAGAAGCCGCGGGACCAGCTGCATTACAATTCACTCTGGAACCTGCTCCGTTCGAGCCTGGAAAGTGCAGCACCGCCGTTTGGGTTTCCAGGCTGTGAGCAGGGAGGGAAGCAAGGTGTGCAGATGCCCCTCCATCAAGCTGCGAACCTCTGATCTTGTCCCTCGCTGCCAGCACCAGCTCCCCGCATCCCTGCACGCCTCCCAGCCCCGCCGGCTCGCAGGACACAGCTGGAGGCCACGTATGCAGGCAGAGAGATAAGAGGCTTCTCCAGCACACCCCGGCGTGCGGTGGCTGCCCGGGAACAGCTGGGGTCTTGGGGAGTGATGCAGCTCCCGCTCTGGACTCCCCTGCTACATCTTCTGCAGGAACAGCACGACATGGAGTGCACGAGACCGAAACAGGCGACAGACAAGAGGCAGCAGCCCAAGAGCCACATGATAAATTGCAGCCGGTGGCAAAGTCACCTGCGTCTCACCCCCAGAGCTGATGCCCGGCCGTGGGCCACCTCCTACAGCCCCACGCCCCCCGAAGCGCAGCGTTAGCAGAGCTGGGTGAAACGGAGCAGAAGCCACCATGAAGAACCATTCAGAAAGCTCTCACCGCTCTTTAACTTAACATTGTGATATATATTTTCTCCTATACACTGATGAAATACCTCGCTCATGCCTGCCCTGAAGGATTTCATCCAGATTTCTCTCCTCCAAACTCCTTCCAGCGCTGAGGTGAAGCTGTGCCACTGCTTCTGTCTGAAGCCACTTACAAATGCAAGTGTCCCATTAGCAAACATGCCTTAGACAGCGTCCACTAACTCTCCCCCAAGTTGGAGGGGACAACAAAGAAATGGATCTGCAAGGGACTGAATTACTAAAATGTGAAGGATTGGTGAAGGCTATTTTCTTTTTTCTCTGTAGCGTGTCATCTGAAATAAACGATGAGCAGAGAGAGCCTCTGGAGTATGTCTCACCTCAGGTGTGTAGGAGCTCCTGCAAGCAGCTGCCCCAGCACCCCAAGCCTGGGACTTTGCCACCAGCTTCTCATGCTGGTATCTGCAAGCACGTGATGGATGAGCAGGTTGCACCATGCTCACTCCTACCTCCAGAAACCCACCAGCAGGACAACTGAGAGCGGGGCTCATCTTTAAACTGTTCTAGCCAGGAGCTCTGTTAGTGACAGCAGACTCCTATTGCTTCTAGCACTCAAATTTCAGGCCAGCACTGAGCTGGCCTGTGTCGGGTGGTGGAGATGCTCTGAAACCCGCTTGCTAATTTAGCTGGCATCCCTGAGTGACCCAAAGATGTGCAGGAGGTCCCACCGCGAGGCAAGGAGGGCAGAGCTCGCTCCCAACACCCAGTGCTGCCGAAGGCGGTGGCTGAAGAGTGTGGCTGTTCTGCAAAATCCCCCAGGGATTCATCTGCACGTCCCGGCAGCCGCTCTTTGGGGGTCTTGCCATCAAAACACCTCATGTACCTCCCATCGCTGCTCTAGACCCCCACCAGCTCTCTGCTGGCCCATTCTCTCCATGGCCTGCTTAGCTGAGGGGATCAGCATCTCCACCCTGGCAGAGGTGAGCACGTGTCCCTGTCTATGTGACGGGCAGCAGGAGTGGGTTTCTGCCCCAGAAACATGCTCCTCAGCCCCAGGAATTAGCCTGTTCTTGAATGACACCCTCCTAGAAACATGGGTTTCCAAATGTGCACCTGCAAAATTCAGGTACAACCTTTGGTTTCCCTGGGAGCATTAACAGGGGATAGAAAGTACGTATGTCCCACAGACCTCTCCACGGCTGGCACAGGGAGATAATCAGACCTTCCTCCTCTTCAAGTTTAACCACTGCCCGGGGTGCTGCCCCCATCCATCCCCGGCTCTTCCCAGCTCTGGGCACCACCCGAGTCACCCACTTGCACTTGCACCCTCTTCCCCGCGCGCGCTGCACCGACTGGCGTGCTCGGCTGTCACCGCGACGGGCGCATCATCATCATCATGCAAGGAACAAGAGGGTTGCGTTGTAAGAAAGAAACAACAACAAACAGTAATAATAATTTTCCCAGTGCTTTGGCAGCAGCTGTAATATCAGCGGTTGTAAAAATCTGTTCATAAATAATGCAAAATAGTTATTTACCATCAGAAATAGCAGCAGCATTTATAAAACAGGCCCTGGAAGAAATAATGTGATTCTGGAAAACATGAATAATTGAGAACCTCTGATTCCACAGGATTATTTCTCTGGCAGGCCAGTGAACTTGTACGCAGCTTCTCCGATAAGTGTTTTACTTAGTCCTCCCAGGATTAACAACCCGGACTACTTCTCTATGCTTTCGGGTGCCAGTTTCAGTGGGTGAGGGAGGGCTCCCATAAATATGATTAAGGACGTTACAGGACGGGATGTCTGGCTGCCCGCACGCAGGTTTGCACACCTGGGACCATCGACGAGGATGCCCAGGCAGCTCTTCTGGGATGGAGATGGAAAGAAGAGACATTTCTCTGCTTAACTTCGAACTCCAGAGGGTTTTGCAAAGCAAAGCATCTTTCTTGCTGCCGGACGACCCGTGCAGCTCACCCCGCAGGACCCCCTCAGCCGGATGCTGCCCGCAGCGCTTTGATGCAGGCAACACAGGACATGCGGCATCTTCTCAGGAGGCCGAAACAGTAAGGAATTGCGAGCACACGCGCTTGATAGACGCGCTCAAAACATCAGCGCTGGCTGAAATGCTCCTGTCAAAACATGCTTTTCAGTGAAAACAAGTCTTTCCATGGGTTTTCTCCCCCCGCCCTCCCACTGTGATTGAAAGTTTATCGTTTTTCTTAAAAAAAAAAAAATGGTGCTGCTAAAAGACTTTAATGAGAATAGATTTGGTGTTGTCTTTCTAAGTATAGGTGAAGAAAAATTTTGTTGAGAAATTGTGGGGAGACGGGGGAAAATAAAACCCGTATGATTTTTTTCAAGTTCACGCAAAACAAGTGCCATTTTCCACTGACTTCTGCAAACCGCACTTGCTCAAACCCACAACCAGTTCATCAGAGACTTGAAAGTGAAAATACAAGGTCAGATTTTCCACTGTGAGTGAGATTTCACGGGTCTGAGCAAGGATGCAGGAATCCTGCTCTCCGGAGGTGCTCCTCAGACTCCCACCTCCTCCTGCCTATCAGGTCAGTCCCCAAAATCGCAGTCCCCGTGGTCATGCAGGGCAGTGACAGCACTCGGGACCAAGTGCCAAGGTCACTGGGACACACAGCACAGGGTCATCTGCTGCGCAAGACACCATGTCCCAAGGCCATCCACCCTTCTAAGGAGGCTTTTCCATATCTCATGGGCTTTGCAAAGCAACCTCAGCATCCACAGCACACTCCATTTTCCAGCTGAACAACCCAACACAACACACAACCAATTTTGCTCTTGTTGGGTGAACCAGTGCAAGACCCAGTAAGAAAAACAGATTTCCTCCAGCCACCCCAGTATGAAATGGCATCCCGCCTGCCAAAGCTGTTACATCAATGTACTTGCAGCTCGGGGGTCTTGTGGCCACCAGCCTGGTGCGCGGGTTGCTCAGCTCTGCCTCTCCTCGGTGTCAGAGAGCGGCTGGGAGCCCGCGGCACACGGCTCCGGCAGCTCTGGTGGCACAGAAGACCATTAGTGCTCCTCTCTGCGTTCAGCTGCTGGGAGGGATGGGAAGGAGGAAAGCTGTCTTCTCCCATCCCTTCCATTAAGACTTGCACTTTAGGCACACAAAGGAGCTCCTGTGCCTCGGTCACACCAAGGTAGGGGGGACAACGCCAAGCAGGGAGATGCGCGAAGGGCTCGGACCCACCATGACGCAGATCAGCTGCTCGTGCAACTGCAATGGGAGCGCACATTACACCAAAACCAGCGAGAAGCCGGGGACCCGGCTTCTTAAAGAAAGCCAGCTGCCCAGTTCCCCCAGTTTAAAGCTTGCTTCTGAGCACAAGGGGACACCTCGCCAGGCCAGCAAGCACTTCTGTAACACAGGGGAAAGCGACAGCGATCGGTGACGGGGTCTGGGTACGCCAGCCACGACGGACTCTGGAAAACGGCTGGTGCAAAGCCAAAACCAGAGGGGTTTTGAGTATCACCCTAAAAACCTGGTGGAGCACCCTAAGGACGGTGCTTCCCTGAGGCTGGAGGCTGTGGCTGGGCAGGACCCTGCAGCTCCGAGGCTGCCAGTGGTACCCAAAGTGCTGGAGACCCAGAGGCACATCTCGCCTGCTTTCCATGCTCGCTACCCACCTCCCGTTTTCCCCACTCACCATATTTTAGGCAAGACCCTTTGCCTCTTTTGCCCTCTCTGGCAATGGCTGTTAAGTGCAGGGGACCATGCCTGGTGCCGGTGGATGCCCCGGATGGGGCTGTGCTGGAGGGACAGGGAGGTGACGGCGCACGGCAAGCAGGCTGCTGGCAGCACGGACACACAGGCAGCAGGAGCCCAAGTGAAATCTCATTCTTTTCCCCCAAAAAAGGGAAGGGGAGAGGCAGGTTCCTTGCTCAGCAGTGTCCAGGCACTCATGCCCAAGCTGCTGGACCCACAGCCACTGCCAGACCCCCACAGGAGCCCAGGGTGCCGGGGACACCCATATGCTCCACGATGGAGACACCATTTTAGGTGCGGCTGCCTTCTCTGCACCAGATTTTTACCATCTGGAAGAAGGTGGCTGGCCAGGCTGCCTGGCTCCGTTCTGTAATTATACTTTGCAGATCCATGTTCCCTCCCGGGGCTCAAGCCGGCTGGACCCCAGGACAAGCACATTTTTCATCCACGTTGCTTTTAGCCTTCTGGAGCCCGGGCACCTAAAATGTGCTTCAGGAGACCTTGCGGTCTGAGCACAGCCATCGCAAGGCAAACAAAGAGCAAATAACGTAAGAGAGCACAAGCTGAAAGCTTCAGTGTGTGAACTGTCAGCCATTTTAAGGTGAGATGTTTCCACTGCTGATGCACTATACTTTGATTTGGGACCTATAAAAAACATTACCAGAAGGTGTGGGGTTGTAGGAGACTGCAAAACCTTGCTTTGATTACACACGCAAGCAACCATTAACGTCAACATCAAGAAAATTTAATGCATGAAGACAAATAATCCACCGCTAATTTGCTCTGCTGTAGCTCACAGTCAACAGTGTCGGACACAAACTGCATGTACAGAGAGCCGGTACTGACGTCTGGGTCATCCTTCGCCATTCCACCGCGAGCATCAGTGAGACAGATGCCGCCCCGCTCAGCACCCTCCTCTCCTCGCACCACCACCCAGCAAAGGAAGGATGGACTAGCAGACGATAAGGGAAAACAATTAAGGTCTAATCAGCACAGGCCAAATCCTGCCTAGCACTGAGCGTCTTTGTAAGCCTCCGTTAAGCCCTTGCCTTGAGTCGCATACGTACCTCGTGCAGATACTCCGCTCGGGGATGAGTTAGACCCTTGGCAGAGGGCCAGCCTCCTTCAACACCCACCAAGCTCAAATTCTGGGGGAATCGGGTCCTGTGTCCCTCTCCAGTTTATCTTTACAGTTGTCAGTCACGGGGAAGTTTCCAGCACAGATCTGCATAATTTATTGGAGGGTGTGAAGACTAAAGAACTACTTTAAGCACTGCCAGATCTCCCACAAGGGCTATGGAGACAACCACAAAGGAAAGACCTGACGCAGTTTCTGGCACGGAACGAGGTGGTATGATGCTGGCCGTAATAGGTTTATGGACATGTCTACCGGGCTAATCAGCTTGGGAAGGATGCATATTGATGACCACATGACCGATTTTTACTGAATTACTTTTTCTGATGTGGCAAGAGATGCTGGCTGAAACACAGCGCCCATTCAAAGTTCCTAATCTAGTAACGCAATCTGAGCACATGGAAAGCCAGCAGCGTTTTCAACCAGTGATGACAGGAAAATGATAACGTAGCAGCATTTTAAGCTCAGATGCAGTGAAATTTCTGTATAATTCTATTACCAAAAATGTTAAATTTAAGTTCTGCCTTTAATCTACAGCCCACAGAAAGAGAGAATTAAGACGGAAATCTGGTGACCCTACTGAAAAGCAGCCAAGACCAGACAAACTCCAGAGCCGCTAAGATCACGCTAATGATTCTTAGCATCGCCGCGGGCTTCTTAAGTGCCAGACCCGCCTTGCAGCTCTCCTCTAAGAGCCCCAAATGCTCAAGAGTCAGTGAAACCCCTGAAGACTGTGGGAGCTATTTGGAGCTTAGAGCACCGGGGCTCCCACCCCGTATTTCTCGTTGATGTCTCCTGGGGTGAGCTCGGTGCTTGGTACACCAAGGAGCCTCCTCCATCTGCATCTGCAGGACGCTCAGAGCGGGCAAGGTCTGCTCCAGAGAGGGACCTTTCCAGGCTCCAACTCCAACCCTCTACAAGAGCTGTGTGTCACAGCCCTGCAAACCCAAACGTACACCCCACAGCACCTCAAACCAGCACTCCTGCAACTTCACCCAGGGTGTGA